TAGGCGGTGACGGACCTATAAATATTTTTCAGTGTAAACACACATATATTAATACTACAAAATTTGTATATAAATTGAGCACAAATAAAATTTTAATTATAGTAAATTCGGAATTTAAGCTGTACACGTGCCTGCTATGGAAACAATGTACATCCGCGACTGGAGATAGGGTTAGGGTTAGAAGCACGTGGGTAGAAGGTAAGCTAGAGTTGAATAAGAAAAGCTCCGCTTCCACTTTGTGAGTGCAAGTCGCACGTGCTTTTGCCACTGTCGATACTGTAGGGGCTGCAGAGATTTCGAGCAGACAAGATGGAAGATACGTTCCAGTTTAGGGGTTGTTGAAGAGTTGTTCGAATTCGATTAAGTTAAAATTTAACAAAACTTTGATTTGGGTTCATTCGATTTAAATTCGAGTTCGATTTGAGACTTTAATAAGTTGAGTTGTGTAAAGTTCAACTCGACTCGATAAGTCCGTGAACAACTCGTTAATTTTTTTATAACTTTTTAGTTATATTGAAAAAATATTTCATTTAAAAAACTACTAATTTACTAATAGATAATAAAAAAGATGATAAAATACTAATCTATTAATTTTCTAATAAATAATTAAAAATACTAAATTATTAATTAATAATTATTATTTTATTACACCTAAAAATCAAACTATAATTATTATTTTAATATATTTATGTATTGTTATTTTAGTGTTTAGACTTTGAATTTGTTTCAAACACTCTTCTAATAATTTTTTTGGTTAAATTTATTAATTTATGTTTATATTAAGTTCTATATAGTATTAGTAAAATTTACTTATTGTTAAAAACAAAAATAAAAATTTCGGTGAGGTTGACGAGTAACAAGACGAGCAACGAGCTTAATGAGCTTAACGAGAAAAGAGTCGAGCAACAAATTTTCTTAACGAACACGAGTCGAGCAAAATTTTAATGAGTTTAACGACCAACAAATCGGGCAACAAATTTTCTTAATGAGTACGAGTCGAACAAAATTTTAATGAGCTTAATGAGCAATGAATCAAGTAACAAAATTTTTTAATGAGCATGAATCAAACACTTCCCAACTCACGATCGTCTCACTCGATAAGTACCCCTAATCTATTTTAGATTAGGACTTAAAAGTCATTAGTTTTGGCGTTAAATATCAGTATAAGAACAATTTAAATGTAACATGCTAAAAGAATAATTTTCCTAAAATTTAATAGGTATAATGTCAGACCCAACGTTTACTAAAATTGTTATTTTAGCTCATATTCTATTTTTGGAGTATTTTGTCCCTTAACATTTCATTTTAGGACAAAAAACCCCTAACATTTGACAGAATAATCATTTTGTACCCTCAATCTTTCATTTTAATTTAAAAAAGACACATATTTTGGAGCGTTAATCGTGTGTCAATTAATGATTTTCAACTATAGAGGAAGCTTTTTGCCTCAAAATAAAACATTAATGGTTAAAATGCTAAAAAAAAGAATAGTGGCCAAAATGATCATTTTAGTAAACGTTGGGGACTATTTTTGACATTATGCCAATTCAAATTGTAGATACAAATATATTTGAATTTCTATTCACTTCTTAACCTAAACGAGTACTTGACGTTTGAATTAACGACTAAACTGACATAAAACGTGATTGATATGATATTATTCTCTTTCCCCAGCTTAATACATTTCCAAATCCAAAAGAGTACCAACATGATTAGTTCAACTGATAAGTAACTTGAAATCACTTAAGTAAGGTCTCGGATTCGAGTCCTTATATATATAAAAAAATCCATGTTGAGAGACTCACCTACCAAAGTAAAAAATACGATACGAATCGATTCAAATTAATTAGGACAAAACTCTAAAATCCGGGCTGACAACCAATAAAAACCAAGAGTAGTTTGCATATAAGGCAACAATTTCTACGGAAAGACACCGACGTTTGCCTACTTTTCGGCCTAATTACCAAAAGAAGAATGATATTTTTCTAAAGTTTCTGCAGTGAAAAAGGGCTATATACACTCATGTTTAAGATTCTAGTAGTTTTATAGTGAGCTAACACAATTATTCTCATTTTATATGTTACTAAAGTAGATGTCAGACTTTATGTTCAGGGTACGAATTTTAAAAAAGTCATTAAAAATTTAGAAAATCAATACGAAATATAAATGAAATTCTTACATCATATGAAAATTTAAAATTTTCAAGACAGGTGACCATCCATAATATCCCTTGATCCATACATATGGTTACTGGAGACAATTACCCGAAACAAAACCTTTTTTTATTAAATTGAGGTGCTTACAAAGTAGTATATGTTTTAAAGATTCTAAACTATTAGACATTAGACACTTAAACACCTTGGTAGACGCTGATGCTTGAACTAATGACCTCTAAAGACAACAACCCGAAATTGAGGTGCTTGAAATATTAGACAACTTGAATTTGATCCATACATATGCTTGAACTGAGGTAGTTTAATTCGTGTAATTTTTAAAGCCGATGAAATGGTTAGCTTCAAACATTGAAAAAAAATGCAGCCTAAAATTTTAATCTATTTCATTTAAATTCATCATCGAGAATTTTCTAATTTAGTGATCAATTACAATGAAACAAAGAGTTCCATAGATTCATTTAAAGACTAGATATTCCCTAGCAGTAGGATAATGGATGAAGATGAACCCTCAATTCTAGACATAAAGCACAAAGCGGTGCTTAAAAAATGGAGAAAAGTAACACAATGTCAAGATTCTTACAGTGATTTGTGACAATGGTACACACAAAATAACATTAAAAAAATGCCATGATAGAGACAAAAAGATCAAAGAAGAAAGAACAAGGGGAATAACTTGATGTGTGTGGGACAAATATGATGGTGAAGATGCAGGGCTAATGGGAAGCAGTTTGAGACGTGAACATGGTCGAATGAGTTCATGCCTTTCAGCTTATCCTGATATATTAATGGGGAAGAAACAAAGCAACATGTTTTCACACTAATAACATGCTTACAGGGTGTGAAAACAAGATGTTGGCTGGTCTGATGATGATTATGTCCCATGAAAATGATGATGATTATGGAGATGATGTGGTGGAAGACAGTAATAACAAAGCTTGCACAAAGGTGGAGAAAGTACTATTTTTAACAACACCGATATTAGATTTATTACTCGACTAATTCGAATAAATCTTATAGAAGTCTATTACGAGGACAATCATCTTAAATTAATTTTCTCCATCCTCAACAACATTCGAACCTCTAATACTTAAGACTTAACGTCTCAACCCGCTAGACAACGATGATTCATTTAAAAAGTTCTCTAAAACTCGAGTTTCCCTTTCTATTGATTACAAACACTTATTAGTGGTTGTAATGAAATGATACATTAAATCCATTAAGGTCAAGGGTTCAAATCTTGACTTCCGCATTAAATCTCTCCGGTGAATCCTAATGTTTCAGGCTCCCTTTAAAGACAAGTGCTCTTTACTGACACGATCTTATTCACAAGTTCGTAACATCATGATTCCCATGTGAACATGTCTAGAAAGAACAATAAATGACTATAGGTCAATTACTTCATGGAAATTTAACCCCCAAAGGTACTGCTATCTCAATATCATTGAAAATACAGCTTCAGAAGCTATAGTTTCAATGAACTTAAGCACAACTCTTAATGCATATCCATGCCGAACTCAAAATCACGTCCCAGTGCACTGAATCTCCCTCCATTAGTCCTGAAGCTTCAGCGTCCCTTTGAAGACAATCGATCTCGACTTCTCTGTCAATAGCCCTATTACATGTGACACAATCCTATTCGCAGGTTCATAACATCATGATTCCATATCAAAAAATCTAGAAAGAAAGCTTAGACAATCCAACTAGCCATGTAGGTTTACTAGGTCAATTACTTATGAAAAATGAACCCCCAAAAGTATTGCTATCTCAAATGTCATTGTAAATACAGCGCCAGAAGCTAGTTTCAATTAAGTACTACTCACGATGCTTAAACATGCAATTCAAAAACATGTCCTAGTGCACTGAATATATGTTCCAAGTCTTTTTCACCCTGGCATTTAGAAGACACTAATAATTGAACCTTTCAAACGAGCTTTATGGCCCGTTGCAAACAAAGAAATCGATAGCATGGCAGCAGCAAATAGCACACCCAAATCAAAGCACCATCAACAGGGACGGAGCCAAGATACCAGTTCAAGGTGGCAAAGTGTAATTAACAATAGAAAATGGGGCAAAATCAAAATAAACTGAAATTAGGTCTAACTAAGAATATATCCATATATATTCTTTAATGATAAAAAAAATTGGGAGGGGTAGTAGCCCCCCAGGACAAAGCATAACTTCATCCCTGAACATCAAGCCATCCTATATACATACACACATAATGACCGAGTATGCCACTACTGACTACCATCTCCACTTGTTATTGTCCACCACTTATGCAGAGAAACCTCGACTTATCGACACCGAAGCTCAGTGTACTACTCATGAATGACTGATGCAGACCTGCAACTACTTTTTAATCAATAACATATCAAACAAGTTTCCTATATAATTGGAGATATAACTATTATGTCACATACACGGTTTCTAGATACATTATCGTAGTTCATATGGCAGCATCTTTGCAACAATAAAACCTAAATCTGACTGCAAAGTCTTCAAATAGTGCCAAATCTTTTTTAATACACTTACTAGACTACCCTTGGCCCTCTTCCCTTCCTCTAAAACTCCTAACTACTCACAAGAAGGACATTACACGTTTAAGTCCTACTCAAACCCGCAACCTCCAGGAGTCTACAATATCATCGGTGCCAATTGACTGGTACAGTCGGGAATAATGCCAAAGTTTGATTACATTTAACTTTATAATACACAGAAGATAGTGATACTCCATAAAAGGCACAAACATAGGCAAAAATATAGAAGCCCAATAGCAATAGCTTAATAAACTGTGGAAAAGCAAGCTCATCAGGACAAATTGCAATGGCATCTTGATAAGGGAAGTCTACATTAAATGCAACTAGTGTACACCATTTATAGTTGCCACTATACATGCTGCATCTGTTGATTGAATGCACATATATGTTCATCAACTGCAAAAATTATACTATTTCAGCAAAAGAGTAGAATGCGACTCTTAAAGAAGGAAAAGTTGAATTTTGAAAAGCAGAACTTCTGAATTTGATAGAATTATACATCTTATAGAGTCCCATTAACATTTAACAGTGAAAAGACATACTGCAACCCCTATCATGTCTCATCTTTCCTTTCAAAGTCAAGCAGCTGGAACCTTTTTTCCATCTTCGATAAAGAAAATTGATGTTTCCAGGACCTAAGGAAGAGGGGAAATTGAAAGTTGGTTAATCAATGTAATTTGATTACTGTCCAATAATCTAGTATAAGAAAATTGTATGCATGTAGATAACCCTATTCTGAAAAAAAAAATGAAAAAAATAAATATAAAACAACTCATTTAAAAAATTTAAAAATAAAGAAAAGCTTTCTTCTGTTATTACCAAGCAACCAATGACTCGTGAGCCCATGATTCTCAACAACTCATTTAAAAATTTCAAATAAATGAATTTCTAATTGCTTCTTTATAAATAAAATATTCAGAGAACAACAATTTCTATTAAGCCGTGGCAATCTGAAAAACATTTACAAGAACTATTTTTTAGCTTAGCACAAAATTCCAGACAAGGTATAACCACATGAAAAATTTATGCCTTCAAGCCTCCACTAAACTACACATTATAGGTTCTACCATTACACAACAAGTTATATCAAGGTTTCCGATGACTTCAAAATACTTTTTCCTCTTCCCATGCTTTTAGGTCTTTTGAAAAGAACAAACAAATATAATAACAAAAGAAGCACACTTCATTTTGTTTCTTTCACAAGTCAAAATGACTTTATACAAATAAATTCTAGGAAAAATCAATACTGATACAGGTGTCACCAAGTTTACAAGTAGAAAGACACCCATTAAGAATAGAGATAAGCAATGTGAATAAAAGCATGGCACATAAATTAGTGCAAAGTTTCAGCACCATTTTTCTATAGTTTTCACTGTTGGAGGCATGTTTATTTTGCGAGAACATGGAAAATAAAGGGTCACTCATATAGTTTATATTGACCAATGCAGATGCAATACTAGATAATTTTGGCTCAGAGTCCAGATATAATGAGGGATAGCCTGCATTATAGGATACGGAATTCATTTGGCATAAATCAAGATAAGAGTGTTTTTATTTATTTATCTTGTATAAGGCAGGATGCATGCTTATTCTAGTTTGGCTGAACTTCTTAGTATAAGAGTAGTAGTCTGCCTATAAGAAGTTCACCATTGAACTTAAAAGAAAGAAATGGAGATAGTAACTTAGCATAGCACATTAAAAAGGAAAGAGAAGGTTAGTAGTGTTACATCAGGCCAGGTTTCTGTAATGAATTCCACAATGTCATAAGATATGTCTCCTTGAACATCAATCTGTTCCTTGTCAGTCGGACCCTGAAATCAACCAGTTGGGAAATATGGCATGAAACGATTAGATATTACCGCAAAGAAATAGTTAAATAGCTCTCTTCTGCAAAGTAATGCACCTTTACAACAGAGGCACCAGTAGCAAACTTCTTTCCTAGTTTCTTTGAAGCATCACTTAATTTTACACCTGAACCAAGTTAAGCACGATAATGAGATGGGAACATTGACATCAAATTACACTTTAAGAAAGCAAGAACTAGCAATGTGGCTCACCAAAAAGTTCCAGGCCTTTTACAGTGGTTATACATTTGCGCTTGTTGCGCACAACCTTTTCAATGATAACTTCTTTCTTCTCCTACACAAGGGAAAGAAAACTCAATTTCTCAACTCAATTAAACTAACTCAATATATCCATTAATGTTATAAAATCCATTTCATGCGAGTAAATTTTTTTATGAATGGAAGAGTTGGTGATTGCACCTTCTTTTTAATTTTCCCACCAGGAAGACGCTTAACTTCCTCTTGCTTAGCTTCTGAACTACCACCTGCAACCAAGGAAAAGAGCAGTGAAGAATGGCATCCTGCCGCAATTTGCAAATTCAAGCAAAAAAAAAGTGACGCCATACAGCAAAATTTCAACTATAGTTCCTTTTCTTCTTATATTCAAAATGAGTTTAATCCACAAGAAACTAGAAACAAAATTCAAATCGGATCTGATATTCAAATCCAAAACAAATTTAAATTATGAAAAATAGAGTTGCAAATAAAATTTACCTGAATCAGCTGAAGAAATGCCAGTGGATTGCAATTGATCAGCAACTTTATCAGCTTCATTGGCATTAGCTGCTGCAAATATAAATTGAATGAAAATAATATTAAAAAAATCAAAAGATCGGTTTAACATTTCAGGTTTCAACTCAACGGCGGTGGTGCATGGGCGTTTACCTTTGAGGAGATCCGGGTAAAGATCCGGCGCGTTTTGGATCAACCAGGGCTTGCATTTTTCGAATTCGGGTCCAAATTCGCAGTATTCAGGTGGCAGACCGCAAACTTGACAGTACTGAACGACGACCGGTTGAGGTTTCTCCGCCATTAGACCGCCGCCTCAATGATTCAATTCTCTTTCTCTTGCTTCTTCACTCTGGCTGGCTTGGAACTTGTATGAAGGCGCCAAAACGCAGCGTTCCACCTCCTAAAACGAAATTTCTCATACTATGCGAATTAGGGCGAGCGAAAAAAAAGCAGGCAAACTACAAGTCTGGTCACTTCTGTTTCAGCAGTTTCTAATTTTGATCACTAGTTTTGGAAAACTTACGATTTTGTTACATTATCGATTTATTACATGTTAGTCACCGGACCGTCAAATCCTGTCACTACGATATTACGGTGATTTAAAAAATAATAAATTTTTAAGCTGAATCTTAAACTTTATATAAAATATCAACTTAATATTTTTTTTCATTTATTCTTCCTGAAAAAGACCAAACCCTTCTCTCTTTGTTATTGTCAATGTTTTTCATTGTCGTTGTTAGGGATGGGAACCGACCCAATCTGATTGGGTCAATTTTTTCAAAAAAAAATTAGGTTTGCGTCGGGTCAGGTCGATTTTTAGAGAATATGTTTGGAATGGGTTCAGGTTTAGGGTGAAAAATATTTGATCGGACTAGACCTAAAAAACCTGATCCGACCCGAAAATTTTACATCATCCACCCGACCTGACTTTTTAAGATAAAATATGAACTCGACCCGACCCAACCTGAAATAATATATTTGTTAAAAAATGTTTTTATTCAATAAAAATAAAGATTTTATTGAAAAAATAATATATGCATGGATATCATTGTAATTATCCCTAAATATATAACGTAAAATTATATTTTTTTCCGGATCAGATATTTTTCATCCTAAATCCGAGCCAGACCTGATCAGAACTTAATTTTTTTAATAATACCCAATCCGTTCAGATCGAAACTCGTCGGGTTCGATCCCATACCGATCCCTCTTCGTGAGGGTTTTCATGAAAATAAAAACATACGAGTTGAAAGAAAGGATGATGAATATTCTATGACGAATGACAGTATATAACGAAAGGATTTATTTTGTTTTTCTTTTTGAGTTCGTGTAAAAGTTATATTTTAATTTAATTTATATTTATTTAATTTATACTTATAAATATATTATATGACGTGAATCACCAAATGGTATGTATAGTGGAGAAATTATTACATGAACATTTTTTACCACCTCATCCATGGTTCCTAACCAATTAAATGAGTACACGTCACAATTATTTTCAATATCATATTTCCTTATAAATTAAAATCTCCAAATCATCATCTTAATCTAAATTGAAAATAATCATATTCTTCTTTATCCAATCATTTTCTTTCCCCAATCTTAAGCATAAAATCTCCATGTTTTGTTATGCTCTTTCTTTGGTTCACCATTATAATTTAACACCCTACACTAGTATGACACATAGTCGACCGATGAGAGCGCCACAGGGAATCACTGGACTGGCTAACCGAAAATTTTCTTCAACATACTAAATGGAAAACATTCATTCAAAAATGTTTTTAATAAAATAATCGTTAACATTTATACAAATCAGTTAACTAGTCCAATACCACATTAACAACTAAAACATACTAAAAGGGGCACAATCACATGTTCATACAACTAATAAAATAATATAGTGAGTATATTCGTATATTCACTCTCTATGTTATGGTACACATCATGGTGCGATTGAGGGATTTATGCATCTCGGAGCTAACGTACCCCTCTAGTCTACTGATGATAAGCCCAGAAATCTCTACATCAAACACAACACCCTCGACTAGCCCATCCCTTGCGAGTGTCAGACCTTGCTCCTTAGCTAGTCATTTTAAAGTGTCTTGCGCACTCCCTAAGGATATTTGGACCGCTTCTATACATTCGACACCCTAAACTTTACTAGAGGAACTCGAATGTCCTGATTGTTTCCTGAGCATCAAGCAAGGCTAGTTTTATGTCACCCTAACTTATATTATTTCTATATGTAATTAAGCATTATTATTGTTTCCACTTGTAATCTAATTTGAGAATAATTATAGAGTTCTTGGGAACTTTATTCCAGCTTACAATCCCTTAAAATTTATTACCCAAAATGTATGTTGATACCGATATTAGACCCTTGATATCGGTACTGATCCCTTAGTATCGATACCTCCCCTTTGGTATCGATACTGATTTCAGGTTCGATGTTTTGAAAATATGCATAGTATCGATACTTCTACCATAGGTATTGATACTCCCATGAGTGTCGATACCAAATTTAGCTTTGATGTTTTGAAAAATATTTCAGTATCGATACTTACCTTTGGAGTATTGATACTGGACCATGAGTATTGGTACTTCTTTAATGAGTATCGATATTACCCCTTCAACTTGAACCATTTTAAGTTGATTTAAGAACATTATCGATATTGTTTCATTTAGTATCGATACCCTCGCTCAAAATGCCCCTATTTGGTCACTTATACTTACCCACATTGCTACCTTAAGGTTCCCCATTGTTATTAGTGTCTTATGTGGTCAATAAGGATTACAAACAAGGCTTTAAAACATGATGATAACATAAAACATATAAGTGTGGTTACATTGAATTTCTTAGCTAATAGCAAAACCTCCAACTCACTCAAGAGATGTCTTCTTTTTTCTCTTAGCATTGGAACTCTCTTCTACCTCTTTCACTAAACAAGGTAAAAAACGGATTACTAGCTTAACTAGATGCTCAAAACAATTTTAAATACACTCTTCAAAATCAAATCCACCCAAAAAGATATAAAAAGCCATAGATTCTTATAAATACCACAAAACCCATTTTGGAAGCTACGGTTAAAAACTTGCAATATGGTGCTTGATTTGAAGCTTGAAGGAAGGTGATTCATAAACTTATCTTGACTTAACCAATTAGAATTGAAGTGCTTGAACAACTTGATATTGGAAAGGAGGAGGGAGAGAAAATGATGGAAGGAAGAAGAAGAAAGTTTGGTGGGATATTTGGGGGAGTAGGTTCACGTAAAAACCATAAAATAAAGGAGAAATTTTCAGCTTTCAAATAAAAATGGGAAATTTGCACTTCTAGTCCTTGAATTTTTCAATTCATAAAATTGTCATCACCCTTCATAATTTTTTTGGGCCCAACTCAGGCCCAAATTCCTGAAAACTTTGTCCAAGATATTTTAGTAATTCCTTTGAGCTCTAAAAATGGGTCTCGGGTCAGCTCAAACTACTGACCCGGGTTTCAGGGTGTTACATATAATCAAGATTTAAAATCAATACAAAATTTTAAAGTTATTTCAAATTTATAATCATATTTTTATATTTCTTTTTTTATTCAACAAAATCTTATTAAAAAATATATATGAGATTTTCTAGATTGATGTATGATATATGTGAATTTCCTTCCATATGGTACAATTGAAAATTCTCATGTCAAACAAAGAAGTGATGCTTAAGGAGATTTTCGAGATATAAAACCTTTAAAACCAAAGCACGATACGCAGCTTTTACTCAAACATACCAATGAAGTCTTTTATATATAAACAAGTCTTTGACTAAACCAAGAACTGAAAAATAGGGTTTTGTTCATAAGTAATAAATTTGATTATGAATTCGAAAGAAATTTAAAATTTTGTATTGATTGTAAATCTTGATTATAATGGTGAACCAAAGAAAGAGCATAACAAAACATGAAGATTTTATGATTAAGACTGAGAAAGAAAAGGATTGGATAAAGAAGAAGATAGTTATTTTCAATTTAGATTATAATGATGACACTACAACAAAACAGCTTTTGTAGTAGCGGTTTTAGCGGCGTTTTTTAGGGAAAACATAGTTAATTTTTATATATAGCGGCGATTTTAGACAAACGCATCGATATCCAAATATATAGTGGTATTTTTGTGAAAATGCCGCTAAAAACGCATACTTTAGTGGCGTTTATGCAAAAAAACGCAGCTATAGCCAGATATATAGTGACGTTTTTGTGAAAGCACCGCTAAAAACGCCTACTTTAGTGGCATTTATGTAAGAAAAAAGCAGCCATAGCCATATTTATAGTGTCGTTTTGTGAAATCGCCGCTAAAAATGCATAATTTAGTGGCATTTGTGTTGAAATGCTGCAATTTCCATGAACCTTTAGTGGTGTTTTTAACACAAACTCTGATATATTTAATACATTAGTGGTGATTACGTAAAAAAACACTGCAAAAGGGTAAAGTATAGTAACATTTTTGGAAAACGTCGCAAATAGTGGCACTTGTAGTGGCATTTTTATACAAAACGTCGCAATAGAGTTAAAATATAGTGGCATTTTTGGATAAACGCCGCAAAATATTAGTCTTTAGTAGCGTTTGTATACACAAACGCCGCTATTGTGCATACTTTAGTGGCGTTTATTAATGAAACACTTCAATTTTGCAGACCTTATCACTTCATTCCTCCTCATTCATATATATTTCCTTTTCTCTCATCTTCATCCCTCACTTCATTCCCCATTCATTTTCTGGTTTTGTCTTCAGGCGTAGTATCTCACTAGCGACGTCGTTATCTGTCTCTCTCGGTGACCAGATCAGGTCTCTCACCGACGAGAAATTGTTTCTTTCTTTTTCTCTTCACCGGCTTAGCATCTCTCACTTTGTTTTTCTGGTTTGTTCCCTTCTCTGAATACTGAACATTTTGATTTTTTCGTTCTCTAGTTTTCATGTGTGGATATTTTGTGTTGTTTTAGCTTGTGGGTGGTTTATCTGTAAATTAGAGAAGTAAATTGTCTTCCCCCTCTCTAATTTCAATTTTTCTAGATCTTTTCTGAAAATGGGGAAAACCAAGCCTACAAGGCTATGCAAAAAGCCAGGCTTGGCTCTTCCTCAGCTGGCGTTGAAGAGATCGGGGATGGGTGCTTTGTATATTTGATTTATGTGAAAAAAATTGCATTTGTAATTAAAATCATTCATATATATTTTTTCTCTCATCTTCATCCCTCACTTCATTCCCCATTCATTTTCTGGTTTTGTCTTCAGGCGTAGTATCTCACTAGCGACGTCGTTATCTGTCTCTCTCGGTGACCAGATCAGGTCTCTCACCGACGAGAAATTGTTTCTTTCTTTTTCTCTTCACCGGCTTAGCATCTCTCACTTTGTTTTTCTGGTTTGTTCCCTTCTCTGAATACTGAACATTTTGATTTTTTCGTTCTCTAGTTTTCATGTGTGGATATTTTGTGTTGTTTTAGCTTGTGGGTGGTTTATCTGTAAATTAGAGAAGTAAATTGTCTTCCCCCTCTCTAATTTCAATTTTTCTAGATCTTTTCTGAAAATGGGGAAAACCAAGCCTACAAGGCTATGCAAAAAGCCAGGCTTGGCTCTTCCTCAGCTGGCGTTGAAGAGATCGGGGATGGGTGCTTTGTATATTTGATTTATGTGAAAAAAATTGCATTTGTAATTAAAATCACAATGGAGACACATTTAAATGAGTTTGTTGCAAAGTGGTTCTGGAAGTGACATCAAAGATGGTGCAAATTCCTGCAGGACCAGTACCACGGCAGGTATGAATCACTGTACTGTTTGTTCTGTGAATCTGTTGTGAGTTTGTTGTAGGTTTCTTGCATCTTTTACATGTTAAACTGGAATAGTCTTGGGGAATTTAAAAGTTTTAATAACAAATTTTGTTAGTAAATTTGTTTGCAATGGAGCAACAACTTATTGAGCCTTCAGATTTCAACTATAATTTGGTTAACATTGACTCTCATATTTTTATATACATTGCTACCAGGTTAAACCTGGCAGTCAGACTGAGCAAGCACCTCCATATTTTGTACTTCATTTGGCTCCTGAGGAAATGCATGGCTTCTGATTCCTGACTATCTCATTTGTACCTCGTCCGGTAACCTTCCTTTTACAACATCAACTACATATGGGCTTGGGTTGTTTTTGGGAATTTGCTTCTCTCTATGCTTAGTCATCTTAAGGATTCACCTCTATGAGAATACATTATGAAACTATCAGATACTTTTGATTGGTTAACTGTTGATAGGAGTAGAAAGCTAAATTGTGAAATCCAAAAGGATGGATGTGTGATAACACTTTTTAATCACTAAGCTTCTTTCTATTTTATTTTTTTTTTCTTGTTCCTGGACATTTTAAATGGTTGTGTTGCTCTCTCATTTAACATATAGTTCAAAATAATTTGAGTAATTGTGTGTAGTGACTTTGTGGTTCTCGGACTATTTCAGGCAGGCCTCCACCAGCAACTTCCATGGCAGATAGGCAATTCTTTAATCCAGATGAAGGGAAATTAGAATTCTCTCATGTATCAATGCTTCTATCAATACACTCCCATAAGGTGACTGTCTGATATGCAGCCATCTAGCTTTCTAGGGTTTGAAACTTGTGCAAAAACCTGTTTACTCTAATTTCACCCTCAAAGACAACTGAAATTTGTTGGTGAATGATTTCAATGATGTGCAGGATATCTTCTTGAAGGAGGACCACCCGCTTGCTTTCAATCTACCATTTGCAATTTGTTGGTGAATAATCCAAGTCATATCAGTTGATTATAACTATTTCCGGTAGTTGATGATTTATTGTCATTTGTCTTAGTTTTATCTTCACAGTCAAATACTACATATTATATATGTGTGTATATGTTATGTTGATATTGATTTACTTTGGAAATAGGTGGTAAGGGTTCTAAGAGCCAATCCGTTATTTGTTCCTATATCAGCAGCAATTATTTTGTCAACGTTTGTGCATCCGGCTCTTGGCCTATTCATACTGCTCTTATCACATGCTTTATGTTGTCATAGTTCGTTGTGCAAGTAAGTTCTTGTTAACTCTACCATAGATTTTAATGTCATCGTTCATTACCCCAACCAAATATTTTAGATCCAATTCATCTCAATACATGTCATCATACAATCAGTCTTCCCAAGCAGAAGTTAGTCGTTTAAAACAACAGTTTGCTCAAATAGATGAAAAATTTGCTCAAATGAAAGCCGAAACTGAAGCGAAGAAAGCAACATATCATAAAAAATATGAAGACTTTCAAAATTAACTCTAAGTTATGATGCAGATGATACGACAAAATCAACCCAAAGTCTACCATCTTAGGTGTTATTTTAGATATATGCTCTGTTTATTCTAGTGAACAATGTTGAACTACATTATATTTCACTTTAATGTAAACTTTGAGTTATTATTATGGATTTCAAGTTTATTGGATAATGCTATAGGTTAAAATTTTAAATTTGGGTAATAAAAGAGCAGAAAATAGTATTTGAAAAATTAGTTTTAACTAACAGCGTTTGTAAACCCAAAATGCCACTAAATGCATAGTCAAACCAGCGTTTGTAAAACAAAACACCACTAAAGTTAAAGATTTTTTTGCGGTGTTTAAACCGAAAACGCCACTATATACATAGACAATAGCGGCATTTTGCATACATAGACGTCACTATATGTCAGAACAATTAGCGACGTTTCTGAGAACAAACGCTACTAAATTAAAAATAAACGCTAAAAACATAACCTTTAACGACACTTTTTACGTCTTTTTTTTTGCGTTAGAATGTTTTTAGTGACACTTAAAAACACTGTTAAAAACATGTTCTGCAGTAGTATGTATTAAAGAAAGAGTGGAGCAAAACATGGAGAATTTATGCTTCAAGATTGGGGAATGAGAATATGGGATAAAAGAAGAAAAATTGGAAATTTTAATTTATAAGGAAATATGATATGAAAAATAAATGTGACGTGTACTCAATTAATTGGTTAGAGACCATAGATGAGGTGATGAAAAGGGTTTATGTAATAGTCTTTCGTATAATAGAGATTAAATGCTTAAAATTTGCATAGATAATAGGACATAAATGACTTTATATTTTTAACTCGTGGATTAGAAATAGTTTTTGATTTTGTATCAATATCGAATATTTGATTTGAATTTAAAGTAACACAATTAAATTAAATTAATTAAAAAAATAAGAATTATAATTTAATTAGAAGTAGAAATTGTATTTTTATATTTTATAGATAAATAAATTATGGTTAGAGATCAGGCTCTCTATTAGGACTTGTATTATTATCGGTCGTGAAATTAGTAATTTTTTTTCTCTCTTACCTTTTTTTGAGAAAAATTTTCACATCTTAGCGTCTATTTTATTGGTCGTAACTATACATGTCGTTATTTTCTAATGATAACAATATTTAATAATTTAATATTAGAATAAAGTAGACAATTAAGTCTCGAATTTTAACATAAGGAAATTAAAATACTACTCCGTACTTACACATTTAGTTTCATTCAGGCTCTAGTCTTCTTAATTGTAAGAACGAAAAAAAAAGTTCTAACCTTCTTCTTCTTCTTCCCCATTCGCTGGCCGGAGTAGAAGTACATCGGAACAAAAGCCGGCCGAACGACGAAAAGCACCCACCTGAACTAAAAAAAAAGACAACATGAGATGTTGTGTTTTTAATATCGAAACCTTAATAACAACAAAAATCTTACATTAGTTACTTTGCTCTCGATCTGAGCATATCCCTATAACGCAACAGAGAATCCAACCTCTGCAACTTAAGCTGCTGCTTGAACTTGTTGATGAAATCATCAGCTTTCACATCGACACCTTGATCGTCACCGTCTCCGAACGACGTCGTCTTCTCGATCTTCGTCGTCGCCGGCCGCCTCCTCTCCACTTCTTCCTCCTCCTCCTTGGCCTTAGCCCTCGATTTATCACTCGCTGATTTCTTCATTTTATCGGAAACTTTCCTTTGTTTCACATGATTGTGCTCCGATTCGCTTCTCTTTACTACATGATCGTAAACTGGAGTACTGTTCTTATCGATTTCCGAACCGGGTTCTTCTTGAACTGCTTCTGGGTTTAGTTTACCCGAGTCGGATCTGTAAAAGGATTTGAAATCGATGGACTTAACACGCTCTAAGAACGACGGCGGCCGGCTGAGGGGTGGTTGTTCGACGTAGACCGGGTCTGGGTTTTCAGGAAGATATTTGTAGAGGTTCAAGTCGATGGACTTGACTCGCTCAAGAATCGACGGGGCTCGCTCTATGTTATTATCCACATGTTGTTGATGGACGTCGTCGAATTTGAAGGCTGAGAGGTTGATAGATTTAACGCGGTCGAGTAGCGACGGAGCTCGCTGGAGAGTCGGAGGAGCTGAGTCGTAACCGCCGCCGTAGTGAGGCGGCGTTTTGGGAGGAGAAAGGAGTGAGAGAAGGAAGATGGTGCCGATGACGAAGTTGAGGAGGAGGAAAAGAGACGTCGGCGTTAACCAGCTCGCTATAAAACCCGACATATTGAAAGAAGAAAACCAGAAATCAAGTTCGAAGGTAGTGTTGTCGCAGAAGAATAATTTTAAGGTAGCTGTTGCCTGTTGCCGGAGCTGAGATTTTGGTGTTTTATTTATTAATTAGGATTTAAATAGCGATTCATGACCACAAAAACATAGATAATAAAGTGGTAATGTACCCTACCATTATTATATAACTACGATACATGTAATCATCATAATAGTATTCATTGTATACGTAATTACGAAAAATATGATGACTAATAATGCGATTATAACCATAATTTAAATAGGGTAAATTATAAATTTAGTAATTAAATTTTACTCACTATATTTTAAAAAATAATAATTTAATCACTGAACTTTATATATTAATTTTTTTATCACTCCGCCGTTAAATTTGTAACAACATTTTGATCTGGCATTATTAAATATTTTTTTAATCAATAAAATACTAATCAGACAAAAAACCATTTTCCCTTATTTTCTCATTTTTTTTGTTCTTTCCTCTCATTTTCTCTTTATTTCTCTACTCAACCGGAATCAATCCTAATTGGGTTTTTTTTACTTTTCAGTAGGAAAGTTCAACTTATCATCAAGAGATTTAAATATCGGTCCGCGATAACGTGCATATTATAATAATAATTGTGCCATCTAAAACAGATATTATATAATCGTGATATCTATAACCATTATAATAATACTCGTTATATTTATAATCACAAAAAATTAATACTAATACGACCGAAATTACTATCGCAACCACAATTGAAATAGATGATATCAACGTAGTACATGTACGTTCATGTTTAGATTTCATGTCAACGTAGGAAAGTCAAGTTTACGGCTCCACACGTTGGAAAAAGATAACAGCAATGATTTATGGTTAGATTAGTAATAGTGAGATACTATTTTAAAAGAAAAAAACATGTATAGGATTTGGAGAATTTATTTGGCACGAAAACTAGTTATTTAAATCACACAATAAAAAAAATATAAAATTTAATCAATACTCGAACAAAATAATGATATAAATAAGTCTGATTGTACTGACAAACGAATCATAAAAGGGGATAAAGCTACTAAAGGCCACCAACAAATCGTAAATCAGAGTCAAACGACGTGAGAAAACTATTCACGAACGCAAAGTGCTTATCCAAATCAATATGAGGGTCCAAAGCATGGAAGATCATCATGATAATAAATAAGCGTCATCTTGATCAGTCGTGGCGATATCAAATCCAACATTGAGAAAAAAGATAAACAAAAACAAAGACAGAAAATCGAAGCTACCAAAAGGTAGAGAAAAACGTGAAATAAAAACAAAGAACATATCATAAAAATATAATTATTCTTATTAAAAAACTAAAAAGGAAAAAAAGATAACTGGCGGGCAACAATCAGCATCAAAATTGATGCCGCTGTCGGTTAAACAAAATTAAAGAAGAAAAAAATTTGATTGATCAATAAAATTGACACAAGTTGTAAAGAATAAAAAAAGAAAGAGAGGTGAGGAGGAAGAAAATGGCTAGGTTTTTTTTAAAAATTAATTAATTTATAGTATTTTATGTTTTTATAATATTTTTAGAAAAACCAATAATTTATTCATACCATAAGTAGTGTCTGGTAATAAATAATTTTTAAAAATTAAATAATTATAAAATAATATATATTTAAAATTTTAATCAAACTCAACTCTACATATTATTAATAACTTCTAAACTCTATAAATAGTTTAAGTTTCGAGTAAATGATATATGATATATATTTTTAGGTCAGATCAAATTGATCGAAATTCGACCCCAACCCGACCCATACCTGTCCCTTTAGAGTTATCGCAATAAATGTTCAAATTTGAATTACCTTCTTAAGAGTATAGTTGCACTCAGCCACCCAACACTTATTAGTTGTATTTTACAATATTTTGTGCTACTTCAAATTCTTAAAATCTTTATGTTTATTTATTTTTATATTATACATATTTAGGACACGTGTCTTTAAAATTTTAAATTATAAAAAATGTTTATTTAAATATATTAAAACCAATGTTTTTTAAATGTTACAATAACGACTACGTTAATCAGTAGTTCAAACCCTACAATCTAAAAGTACACCAAAAGGAGATTCTTGCATGTCATGGAATCGCATCTTGTGTTTGCTTTAGAAAGTGGCAATCCAATGGCTTTTTCTTGTTGCCTCCGAGGCTTCACCTTGGTTAATATAGATAGACCCGAGTCATACATCTGAATTTAGTGAGTGAATCTCCCAATAAAGATTTTTTGCATACACAAGAAATCGAACTTGAGACCTTACTTAAGTGATATTAAACTATTTATCACTTGAACCATCCCTATTGATTAATCGAATGGCTTTTAAATACAGTAATTTACTATAAAAAGTAGGCTTTCGGCCTCAGTTTTCGCCTTTAAAGCATATGATATGGCACTCTTTGCCGATCAAAAAACGAATATTTCCAAAATACCTTTCTCATTTAACTATACAAATGATTTATATTATGTTGTCTACTTTTAGCCATTCGCTTAAAAAACATAAGATATTGTCACTTTTATTTTTATTTAATTAAGATATGGTTATCAGGGATTAACTGTTGTTAACAATTAACAAAATATGTGACATGATAGATGGTATAATCACACATATGGTTCCTATTATTTACATATTCTCTCAATTTAGTCATACTTTTAAATAAATTTTAACATAATATATATATATAATGAAAATAAAATTAAAATATTTTTAAATTAAGTTAATAATAAAATATATTTAATAAGTTAATATAAAAATATTTTTAAGTTAATATATATAAAATTTTATGAATTTAAGTATTTATATACTAAAATACAAAATATATACAATATGTTGTCTACTTTAGACCAAGCAGTGGTCTTGGCTTAATGGTTGCACTACAACATAAATATTCAATAGCGGCATTTTTAGTGTTTTTAAGCGCCGTAAAAAAGTTTTATGGAACAAAAAACACCGTTATTACGGGAGCCACAAACGTTAGTTGCGTTTGTAAATAAAAAATGCCGCAACAGAGGACATTTAGCGGCGTTTTATACAAACGTCGCAATAGGTTAGGACATGTAGTGGTGTTTCTTTTACAAACGCCGCAATATGTTAAGCCATTTAGTGGCATTTTTTGTACAAATGACGCAAAAGGTTAGGACATATAACGGCGTTTTAGAGTAAAAAACGCCGTGGTTGTCCAAATTTTAACACTACTAATTGTTACTGATTTACAAATGTTAATTTGTACTCATTATTGTCCAAATTTTAACATATCCTGTAATAACATTGAATAACAACCTTGATACGACTCGAATTAAATAAAAATACTTAACAACAAAAACAAATCGAATTTCTCAAATATTCAAGTAATGTAGCTCAACATTTAAAAGAGATTTAATGTAGTTCAACATTAAAGTGAAATGTAATATAGTTTAACAACTAGAATAAACATTGAATGAACCTAAGAAATCACCTAGGGTGGTGAATTTCGCGGCCGATATTGTTGCATCATCTGCTTCATAGTTTCAAGTTGTTTTTGAAGTTCATCATATTTTGTCTGATAATGTTGCTTCTCTCTCTGTTTCTCTTACTTCTCTCTCAGCTTCTCTCGCTTCTCGTTCTGCTTCTCTCTCTTCTCGTTCTGCTTCTCTCTCTTCTCGTTCTGCTTCTCTCTCTTCTCGTTCCACTTCTCTCACTTCGACTTGTGCTTTCATTTGAGCAATTTTTTCATCCACTTCAGTCAACTGCTTTTTTAATCGAATATCTTCTAATTGAGAAGATTGGCTTTGTGATGGCACGTATTGAGAAGAATTGTATCCAAAATATTTGGATGGTGTAACAAATAATCCCTGACAGCAAACTCGACCATATCTTTCAGGATCAAAAACTTCAGCAATAACTTGATTTTCAATCTCGTCCACGTTAATGGAACCATGAGATTAAGCCATAGCTCTATACTTCATCCTTTTATCACTCAATTTTTCCTAAGACGTTGTGAATTAAGAATTTAGAACAAATTGAGTAAATTACAAAATTCATCACGAACTTTACTCTTTCATATTTTGCTCACTAAACTTTAAAAGTTTTCAATTTATTCACTGAACTTAATCCAATGAGTTTTTTTATCACTGAATTGTACTCTCTTCTATTTTGGTTACTCCACTATTAAATAATTAATGATGTAAAAAAGACGTAGTTTGGTATTGAGTTTTTTATCACTGAACTTTACTTTCTCTCCTATTTTGGTTATTCCATTGTTAATAGTAAAACGACGTCAAAAACGACGTCATTTAAAAAAAATCACCAAACAACGTTGTTTTGCATTTATATAACTGCTCATTTTAATGTTGATAACTATTTAACGGCCGAGTGACCTAAAAAAACTCAATGTATTAAGTTCAATGAGAAAATTGAACATATTTACAGTACAATGAGTGAAATAGGAGAGAATAAAGTTCAATTACCAAATTTGTAATTTACCCTTATAAATTTTGCTTAATATGTGGTGTCCATCTCGAACTTTAGAGGGTGATGAGAAATCAAACAAAATAAAAGAGATGAAATATAAATATTAAATTCATATAAAATCTGATCTTTATTAATTGTTCGAATAATCGATTTTAACATCGAAGGTGATTTATCTACTTCACCGCACAACTGACCAGTTTGGCTCATATATATAAATTCGAAAATAACTCTTAACTATTTGACATTGAACACTCATACCCTTAACATCATTTGTGCTCAAAACCGAAACATTAAAGAATAATAACAATTTCTTTACTACCGAAGCTACTTGATTGATGCATTTGGCCCATGGATATGCTTAAGGGGAAATGGGAAGGGAGGCATGGTCATGCCCTTGGACGGGGAGAGATTCATTTATGTTATGGTAACAATACTTAATAATATAATATTAGAATAAGGAAATTAAAATACTACTACGTACTTGAACATTTAGTTTCATTCAGGCTCTAGTCTTCTTCTTAATTATAAGAAAGAAAAAAAAAGCTCTGACCTTCTTATTCTTCCCCATTCGCTGGCCGGAGCAGAAGTACATC